ATGGCGGAATCCGTGAAAAGTCATTGAATGATTCCGGGAATCAGGAGTAAAACTCCATAATTAGCCTACTCTAGTTTAGAAGTCTAGTTTTCATCCGCTTTCAAAAGACATACAGCTTGCCAGGAGAAAGAGGGATTTAATCCTGCCAGGAAGAGATAGTTTTAGTCATTCTTTCAAAATTAAATAATTTTTCTATAAATTGTAACTTTTTCATATGAGAAGATAGGAGAGTCTCTAGCTATATATTGAATTACTCTTGTTGAAAGTTTTCAGAAAATATATAGCTTGCCAGAAAAGAAAGGATTTTCCTGTAGGGTGAAGGTGGTCGTAATTGTTCTTCCAGAATTAGGGAAATTTTTTTTATAAAAATTCATAACTTTACTATATAAAAGGCTAGAAGAGTCTTTTGCACTCTATTGGAATCCTCTCGTCGTCCGCTTTCTGAAAATATGTAGGTTGCCAAGAAAAAAGGGGATTTCCCTATCGGGTGAAAGGGGTGGTGGTTGTTTTTTCGGAATTAAGCCAATTTTTAATTTAAAGAAATTATAGCATTTTTATATGAGAAGCTGGGAGAGAATTTAGGTGTTCGTTGAATTTCTCTCGTCGTCCGCTTTCAGAAAATATATAGGTTGTGGGGAGAAGGATGCTAAAAGTACGTGGTGAAAGGGGGAGGAACATGGTATAATGGAAATGTTCCTTTCTGCACTCCAAAAGCGTCGTTTTAAGGAGCTAAAAGAACATGCCCATTATATTATGTTCCTCCCCCTTTCACCACGTACTTTTAGCATCCTTCTCCCCACAACCTAAATATTTTCTGAAAGCGGACGACGAGAGAAATTCAACGAACACCTAAATTCTCTCCCAGCTTCTCAAATAAAAATGTTATAATTTTTTTAAATTAAAAATTGGCTTAATTCCGGAAAAACAACCACCACCCCTTTCACCCGATAGGGAAATCCCCTTTTTTCTTGGCAACCTACATATTTTCAGAAAGCGGACGACGAGAGGATTCCAATAGAGTGCAAAAGACTCTTCTAGCCTTTCATATAGTAAAGTTATGAATTTTTACAAAAAAAATTTCCCTAATTCTGGAAGAACAATTACGACCACCTTCACCCTACAGGAAAATCCTTTCTTTTCTGGCAAGCTATATATTTTCTGAAAACTTTCAACAAGAGTAATTCAATATATAGCTAGAGACTCTCCTATCTTCCCATATGAAAAAGTTACAATTTATAGAAAAATTATTTAATTTTGAAAGAATGACTAAAACTATCTCTTCCTGGCAGGATTAAATCCCTCTTTCTCCTTGCAAGCAGTATGTCTTTTGAAAGCGGATGAAAACTAGACTTCTAAACTAGAGTAGGCTAATTATGGAGTTTTACTCCTGATAGCCGGAATCATTCAATGACTTTTCACGGATTCCGCCATCTGCTCAAAAAAATTATTCCTCTTCAAAAGAATGCAATTCGACTGCGCACCGATCACCAAAGTTCATTTATTATTTCACTTATTGTTTCATCAAATACGTGAGCAACTCCATTAACATATATACAAGGTGTCCCAAAAAAATGTGAACACTGTTTGATTGTTAATAACTCCCTTGCTTTCATGTCTTTCGCCGAACTTGAGGCACCATTCTATAGAGCGAGGTTTAACTTAGATTAGCAGTATGGAGCGAATCGTCGATCGCTCTTCATTACTGTAGGATTATGGTAGGAACTTCGACAAGGATTTTAGGTCATTAGAGGCCATATTCTCTTCGGAACAAAACCAAACAAGCCAAAAACTCTTGTATCATGGTAAGGAAGCTGCTGATTTCTAATATGAAATTTCCACTCTACTGTGATGCTTTTTTCCAAGGTTATCCCAGGTAAATCGTAATAACTGAATTTCCAGCATTTGTCAGAAAGGTGATTACACCGTCAAAAAAGCTGAAAACACACGTAAAAAGTTGTTAATGGAGTCAGCGTGCAAGAAAACCCTAGTACACGATTTTTTAGATTTTTTGAAAAAGATTTTGTCAAATGGCATATTTCGCAATAGATCCACATGCTTGAAGTTCATACCAATCCTACAGTAACGAACAGCGACCGGTGATTCGCTCCATACTACAAATCTAAGTTGGACCTCGCTCTACAGAATGGTGCCTCAACCTCAGCGAAAGACTTGAAAGCAACGGAGTTATTAATCAAACAGTGTTCACATTTTTTTGGGACACCCTGTACACGAACTTCACACGTAAATTTTTCTCCAGAAGTGAACAACAGCGGCACGTTTCCGACGTACTTCTCAGTAAACCTGCAAATAAGTTTTGACAATCCTCATAATAATCTTTAGGATCAACATGTAACTAAATTCAAATGTACTAATGTCGACAGTTTTATAATTTGCTTAGAATCTTGATTTCTTAGTCTTACTTTCTCCAGTTCTTCATCGGCCGTGGGTGAAGGGGGGTCAGCTGGGTTCCGGCCCAGGGTGAAGGGGGTAGGAACACATTATCCCCTTTTCACATGTATGCCCCTCCTCGGGGCTCGCAAATCTCTGCTCCGGGGGTGCGCCAGATTTGGAGGAGCCCCGGAGCACCAAGATGCGTGAAACGGAAGGCAAACCCCCGCTGGGCAGAGCCCGGGAGGGTATCCCTTCGACTGTCTGAGGCGGAGATTCCAGGTCATCTAATAAATTTTTTTGGGTTTAGCATCTCCAATATGCGCGCACAGTTTCAAGGGCATGTGTTACTGTTGATTCAACAAAAAGCCTCGGCGAATGCTTCACTCTTGAACACAACTTCCATCACTTCCAATATCGTACCCAAAAGAGGTCAGATCTTGACCAGCATTGTGCATGACGGCTAGCTGCCCAGCAATCCTGGAACCTTCATCGCTGTCTTCATGCTCTTCAATCTGTGCCCATTTTATCTTGTGTTGGTTTTCCTTTGCCATTCTGATACGCTTCTCTTACAAGGAGAGGATACTTAGTCGAAAGCACCAATTCAGATGGGACATATACCTTCTTAAAGCACTTGAAACGCTGATTCCAAATCTGCAGTTTCTAGCTGCGGAGCGGTTTTGTAGGAGTTATGAAGGGTGTTCTCCTCTGGGGTTTAGGCGCCCTCCAGCGGTCTCCCCTTATCTGTAAGCACTGTAGAGGAGTATCAGCTGATGGCAACTGACCTAATGGTAAGTAACTTGAATGAAGATTCCAGTAAAGATTATAATCTCATATTACTTTGGTTTTTTCAACACTTCAAACTTCGATTAGTATCAATATCATCAGAATTTTCATGCTTTAGGGCTCTAAAGCCATTTAGAAGTTCAATTTAGCATGCGAAGGGGGTTAAAACCTTGACACTCTCTTTATCAAGCATGTCACTTACCAGTAGGTCAGTTGCCACCAGTTGGTACTCCTCTACAGTGCTCATAGGTAGGGGGAGACCTGGTGGAGGACGCCGCAACCCCAGAGGAAACACCCCTCATAACTCCCTCTACAAAACCGCTCCGCAGGTAGAAGCTGCAGATTTGGAATCAGCGTTTCAAGCGCTCTAAGATGATATATGTCTCATCTGGATTGGTGTTTTCGACTAAGTATCCTCTCCTTGTTAGTAATTTTGACCTCAAAGACTGTCGGGCCACAGGGTAAAAGTTGTCAATGTCCTAGAACCTTTCAAAAAGAAATATGGCTTCCTTCCTTGTATCGTCTATTCCCCACAGTATAGCGGGCGGAGCTTTGCTGACGTTTGCCAACGTATTCGCGTGGCAGTTTTTGATAGCTAGAGAGTACAAAAACAATTCTAAAGTGGAGGTTCAACAAGTTTTTCAGGTGTTCAAATGTCTGCAGGGCCACGCCCGCAATACGCATGGGAGTCGCCTATACCATATTTAGTCCCAACCGCACAGAAAGTGTCGATCTTTTGCCACGTGTAAAAAATTGACATCAACTGGTGGTTTTACCAAGAGTTTTGGTGTCTACCTACCAACGTGAATGAATTCTTCCTTTCCGATCAATATTCATCTCATTTACAACTTAACATTTGAAAACCAACATCAAGATAGTAAACCTTTTTCATCCACGAACCTTTAGATTCGCCCAGAACTGATAAGAGTACTAGGTTTGCACCTTAGCCAACGTTTTGGACTGTGCCCTTATAAAATGCAGCTGGATAGCTTGAACCAACTCAAATACTCTCGCACTTTTCCGGAAATGCTTTCAAACATGTTTCCTCTGACATGTGGTAGATGGACAGTCCCGAAAGAGTTTTCTAGACTAAAACCTTTATTCTATGAGAACTCTTTGAAAGAATGGGCCAGAAAGGGAAATGTACCCATGAAACTTCCACGAAGCTGTTTCAGACAATCAAAGAAGAGAAAGTTAAAGGCATTCGAAAAATCGTGACGATGGCGCGACCGAGCGCGACACGCACTTCATTTATAGGTTTGTATCTCTGCTCGAATGGTTTTTCTGCTTACGTATGATAGTACTCAGACACTGGAAGTAACTGAGCTGGCGTTGAGTTGATGCCTGTTTGTATGGGTGTTTTATGCCCCTGTGTGCGCAAAGACCGCAGTCAAACTCGTCGTCACGATTTCAAGAATGAACCATATGTGCAATATAGAGTCCAGACAACCAATCATCATTAGTAAGTCCGCAGCAATCAACTAATAATTACTTCTAAGTACTCAGCATGCATCATTCCCCAGAGAGTTGCAAACCTCAAAATATACCAAGTTTGTCGCCAACTATTATGATTTGCGGTTGATCTGTTCGGAGTAAATTTTACAGTACAACGATACAGAAACATGGACGTGAAACGTTAACTAACTTGAGACCAATGCTTGATTATAACTATTTATCCTCTTACCAAATCAATGCACCACTTTCGTTAACTTAAATTCCATTCATACAGATTAAGGATACAGTTTCTTCAGTTTCTTCAACATGATAAATAATTGGTGAACACTGAGAGGAAAAAGGTAAATCACAGTTCAGAATTACTAGAGAATAACAAATTAAAACTATTCAGGACAGCTTTAAATCCTACTACCTAAAATATTCGAAAATTCAAGTACAGGCCAAGGTAAGAAGATTTTATGACTGCGTAAAAGTTGAATTCAGATTTTAGAACAACATCTAACGTGCAATGACGCCGACACGTAGTGAAACCAGCAAGACAAAAATCAATAGGCAAAGGTGGGTAACGGAAAAGAAGCATGGTCAAAACGCTTTAGATATGGGATAAAAAAGCATGAGAAGGATTTGCAAACGTAACAAGTTATTGAAAGCAAAACTATAACTTTCCAGAAAATACTGATGAAAAGAACTTGTGAAATAACCTTCAAACTAACAACGAGGGAAGTGGAATGAAAACTTTACAGATATATACATATGATACATCTGAACGGCAATGGAATTCAATTTCAACATGTAATGACATCATCACTACTGCCGATACTAAGCTAATTCGCACCGAATTTGTAGTTTGATAAATCTTGAGAATTATTTTGCAACAAAAAAGTCTAGCAAGTAGTTATAACTATTTGTACAAAGATCTTTACAGACACCAAGTTCATATCGCAAATTTGAAAAACAAATCAATTAGCTATTTCACCAAGATTGAGATACTCGCATATATGTGCCGGCAATTTGTCCTGGCTAGCGGACAATTGGTGGAAAATCGCTTCCGCGGCTGTCATCATATCATCAAGAACAAGGTGCATCGACATATCATTGACATGCTGAAATTAAGAAACATTTAAGAACTTAACAGCAAAAGAAAACAAACACTCATTACCTTCAAAATCTCCGTAAGACCAAATTTATTGTCGATGATAGTGTTCATCTGCGCATCAAGTATGGCCACACAAATCAAAAGCAAGAAGTTGGGACAAGGCTGACCGGTCCATAGCACCTGAACATTATTTTGTTCATATTGACTGAAACAGCGACGAATAAGACTGCGAAACGAAACAGCTAGACATGAATGTCAAATATGCCACCAACCTCCCACAATTTGCAAGTGTCAGCGAATGAGAGCTCGCGTTTGAACCAAACTAAGATCCACCGGAAGCAGAAGTACATATCATCAGACTGGTGGCTTTCTGAAAATCAATACTTATATAATATTTGAATAAGCACTTTTTTTATGACCGGCCTGAAATGGTAGAAAGAATCAAGGAATTTGGACGAAACTTTGCACACATGAAATTCTGGGTAGGGCGGGTGTCACTAAGCTTTTTCAGCGAAAATCGCCAAGTGGCGCTATCGATTTATCGGGTTTTTTTTTGCGTTTTTTGCCTAGCAATTTCGTTATGACCGGCCTAAAATGTTAGAAAACTTCATTAAATTCAAACGAAACTTTGTACACATGAACTTCGGGGTGGGGCGGTTGTCACTAAGCTTTTTCAGCGAAAATCGCCAAGTGGCGCTATCGATTTATCGGGTTTTTTTGCGTTTTTTGCCTAGCAATTTCGTTATGACCGGCCTAAAATGTTAGAAAACTTCATTAAATTCAAACGAAACTTTGTACACATGAACTTCGGGGTGGGGCCGGTGTCACTAAGCTTTTTCACCATAGGGGTTATCGATTTATCGAATTTTGGGTTTCAATCTTTGTTGAGCGAAAACTGGCAGGAAGGGATAGCTAAGCATGGTCAAATCGAATAAATTATCTACAACTTTAACCACTAAACTTTTTAAACCTTTTTTCTTAATTTTTTGTATGCCACATTCTGGAGGCTAGCTGATATTTAACTATGCATTCACCTTTCGCAACGGGTTTCGTCGACTGCATGGCTCATCAACAAAATCAAAATGGTTCATCCGCGAGATCAAATATGACCACCAAATCAAAATACCCTATCCCGGCCTTACGGTTCATTCATACCATGCCTTCGGTGCCATCAGTCGTACCTCCTTCGACTACTTTTACACCCGAGACATGGCGCCGATATTGACCCCCTAGCAATGGACCCTCCACCTCCACACCTCCGTCGCAGGTGCATATCGCCGAATCCGAGCCCGTACTGCAAGGCGCACTTCTGAAGCCAGCGTAGCCGTCTTCGTCGTAGCCGAGAAATACAGAGGCACGAGAACGGCGTCTTGCCTCAATGCGTGAACGTCATCTTCGTCGACGGCAACAAGAACCACAGCTTAACAGACGCCTTCAGGAGACACTGGATCAATCCAAGCATGGTGTAAGCCCAGAACGGGTTGGCCAACGAAGACACGAGCCAATCGACGAGAACACAGCACAAACGATCTTTGCGCTTGACTCGCGGCAACAAGTGATGTTTGAACCGGCACCTCCACCCCCATTCCGCAGATGCACATTGCGCAAAGAACTCGAGCACGTGGCACAATGCGGAGCTCCGTAACTGCACATAACCGTCTTCATCATGGCCAGGAAGCACCAGAGGCCCAAGAAGAGCTTGCCCCGGTGCATGTAAGTTACCTTCGTTGTCGCCAGCACTACCACTTTTCAAAAAGATATAGATTAGATATATAGATTAGATTTATAGATTTGATTTACCCCTTTTTTATGTTCGTTCACGATGAATAGAAAAAGGATCATAGGATTTAAGGCAGATTTGGCAGACGTAATGCATGGTGTGCGCCGTTGTTAATAAGCCATTTGTTCGATACACACGGTTTGTTGCTATCGACTTATGGATTTTTGCACTTTTTGCCTAGAAATTATCTTTGCTTGAAAACGATAGAAGGAGTTATGGAATATAGACCAAATTTGCCAGGCATAACGCATGGGTGGGATGTGTTTCAATGAGCCGTTTGTTCAACTATAATGATCGACCCTTTCAATTTATTGATTTTTCGCAGTTCGCGTAATATCCATTGCTTAGTGTTAATTCGAAATAAACTGACAAAGCCGAAATTGTCCACGGTTGTTCTTTCTGCGCCGGTTATAAACGAAGTAGTTCGTGCAAAATGGCAAATTTTCTGCATTTCACTTTCAATAAAGAACAAAACGAAAGATTTACCGGAAGCGAAGCTGCCGTGTACCAGCCGAACCTGCCGCGTAGCGGCAGAGAGCGGCTGGTATGAGATAATTGAAAAGCGAAGCCAGAACTGGAGAGCAATGCAGCAATTGAAAGGTTGAAAAAACGGTCAGCAAGCGGAACTTAGTCTGGTCAGTCTACGAAGGTAGGAAAGTAGCAAAAAGAGTATGCAAAGAACAATAGCCTTTTGGCATTAAAAGCAAGAACTTCGACAAAGTAAAAGAGATACAATTTTTGCGGTAAGTTAGAGCACGATGACTGGGTTCATACTGATCCCTAGGCTTCGGAACACTTCCAGCACAGCGCTCGAACTGTGCGCTGTCCTCGAATTGTTCTGGAACATGCTGAACAGTGTGAACCCAGCCTATGCTACTGACATAATGAAGGGCACAAGGTAAAACACAGATTGAAGACATACCCAAATAATTTGCCAATTGGGGGTTCACGATCATAACCAAATCACGCAGCTGATACATTTGCAGCTTGATAGCAGCCTGATCTTTCTCGAAATTTCGCTGCTAAAAAATAGTAAGTTAACAAAAACTTCATTGTGAAGACAGAGAAAAATATAAAAAATCTACTGAGTAAATACTCTGCAATCAATACTTACAACTTTTTTCATCAGCTCCACGAAACACCAGAATGCATCAACCTCGTTACCCATCACGTAAAGCAGTGGTGAAGCAAAATCGCTCATGCCCTGCACATAGCCTGCAATCGAAGTAAGGCTAGTGTCTTCCTCATATCACTTCAAAGAAAACGCGGCACATACTTACCAAGATCGAAATTGTACATAACATAAGTCATCAGCATATTTTGCAACATTGCAAGATTCGGATTCGTGTCTCCGCTGAAGAAGTCCATGGATCGATCAGTGCGAGCAACATCCTTTTCTGGAAACATGCCTTCGATAATACAATCAAGGTTTTCAGAGATGCATGTGTTGATTTTATTAAGGTGAGTATAAAAACGATGTATGAAATTTCGCGCACGTATATTGTCTACGAATGCAATTTCAATCACACTGCCCTCAGTTTCAGTATATAACTTTGCAACGACCAAAAATTGAACTGTTCATCAAAGTCTGAAGTGTTCACAAACTCTTCTACCACTTTCTTGCCACTTGAAAAAGAAAAAAGAACTAAAAACCTGGAAAATATGCACCTAGGACAACTACTTTCATTTATAAGCAATGTTGCAAGAAATCTCAAACAAAATATTTAGGTTAATTTTACTTAATGGTAGTATTGTTCAACATCCAGGGTTCCCAACTGCCAAAAAAAAATGACCAACGAATTGAACTAGGTCAAGGATCTAGATGTCGCGGACGTAATTTTCTGGCCCCAAGCAACCTTTTCTACATCTTAAGATTTCATGTTTTCGCGTACGATACAGAACATCTACAACCCACGTGAAAAACTGTCGGAGCAGTAGACAGACACGTTTTTTGCATTTCAAGATGGTAATGCTTATGGCTAGGTTGCGTATTCTGTCCAGTTTGACTTATGAAAAGAGTTCTACATGCAAAATTTCCTTTTATCAAATTTTGTCATAATGCAACCACGGAATCACTGCTGAGTTTAAGTCCTCTGACCTAAAATGCAAAGGATGCAGAATTTTCGAGACGTTTGGTCGTTGCCTCAATGCGATTCGAAATGTTCAAGATTTTGGGAATGTTCACACTTTCATGCAGGTCGATCACTGCCTAGAATTTCATGCAGGTCGATCACTGTATAGAAGTAAGCCCTGGTCTGATTCGCAAAGCATCTCATGAGAACGGTGGGCGAGAAAGTACCTTATCATTGTTGACATCACTAGCTAAAGTAGCGTCGCGTCAAACCTCCACATCTTCCTGACTCAGTGGCTACGTGCTTACGCAGAACTGCAGCACAGCAACGCTTGTCAACATTCAATTTTCAACAAAACGATTTTTGAAAAGATGAGTCACAATTGTCCCCAAATTAGTCCCAGATGAACGCAACCAAAACTCGAATCCATTTCAAGCTGAATACAACCAATAACACACTACCGATTATTAGTAAGATGTTATATACATGCATTAAGACACTCAGAAAACACTAACCTACAAGCCCCTTTCGTTTGCTGTAGCTGAAGAATCGTGACTCCTGATCTTCACTGATAGACATCCACTGAGCCTTTAGCCTTTCATACTCCTTCGCAAGTTTTGCCCGTTTCTGAAGCAAGTATTTTTTTTTGTCAAGCAAACAATCAAAGAACTAGACAAGAGCACTAGGCTCTGAAACACATGGAGGAAAATAGATCGTTGATGTACAAGAGCCGCAATTCGAACAGATATCTTTTTCAAAGTGAGAAAGTAACCGACGCAAATATGAGTACAAGAAACTCGTTTCCCTTATCCTGGGTGTTTTACGAACTCATACCGATTGGAAGACAACATAGGCCATGGATCTTTGCAAATTACTCCATGTCTGATATGAACGCAACGTGAATAGAATACCGCTGACCTTTTCAAATTGAGCATTGGTTTCATCCCACTTCCTATATTCGAGCAGGTATTTCCAGGCTTCTTTGCGCAATTCTGGTTGCAATCCTACAAAAGGTGAATTCAGAAAAAGAAACTGATACTATTTTCACGCACTTACCTCCTCTAAATACATTCATTTTCAAATGATGAATATTTTGTGGGTCGATAGTACCGTCTGCCATCTTGAATTTATCCCATATTTCCTGAAAAAGATTATTTCATGCAATGCTTCTTACTTGTATTAGTTGACAAAGTAATAGGAGCTTGACAACGCAAGAAAAAACAGCAGTGACTCACCTGTGTGACTGGCGACTCTCTGTAAATGTCTGGTCGAGGAGGCAACTCAAGCTGAGTGACAAGTTCGAACTCCGAAGCTGCGTCAAGATTGATCCTTTAAAAAGGTTTTTGGAAATGGAAGCTATTACAGAGTAAAATCGTCCACAACACCAGGCTCACCTCAGTTTCGCTGCATCATCTTCCTTTTGGGTAAGCTCACGCATGGCACGTATTTGCTCCTCTTGACTTACTGCATCACTATCATCAAGGAGCGCAGGTATCATCTGAAAAATAATGTTCATTTTGAGATCAAGATAATAAATGATTGGGCACCTGCTCCTGCATGAATGAAGTGATTTTACCGAATCCAGTAAGAGCAGTGGCATATGGATTCTTCATGAAACGCTGAAATGAGATCTGCACCATGACGTGCCTTTGAAAGCCAATTTACATGACGCATAGGTCTATATATGGGTAGCACTGAGCAAACAGACACTGTCGGAGATTTAATCACAATCGGATTGCTGACTCTAAGAACGTAATTGGTGCCAAACGATGATCACCAGTTCATTAATAAGCAAATATACTAGTTTGCAACAGATCACAGCCTACGTCAGTGATGAACCTTATCTATCAAGTCTACGTTTCAAGGGTTAAGAAAAAAGGTCTCTGCGTCGACTGTTCGCCCCCAAATCCGACTCCCACTAGTGTTTTTAGACTACTTAGTATGATTGAGCCGTGCCTAACAATTTCAAGGAAAATGACTCAAATAAGCATAAAAAGACCCACCGATAATACGTCGTCGTTCTGTCCTAATGCAATAACGCTTTGAGCCAATGCCTCTGCTTTGCCATCAACAACAAGGACGAGATCCCGTTCATGAGCGGATCTGCGTAAGGTTATGTACCTAAAAAAACATAGAATAACAAGAACTCTTGGGACATATATGCAGAATATTTCGTCAAATACATCAAACATCCTTCTTCACAATAATCTGCACAAACCTTTGCAGTACATCAATGAAATTGACTGTAGATTCCGACGTGAAGTATAAAGGTACATAGGTGGTACCATCTTTGCAAATCAGTCGGATGCAAGGATAACCATGGCCTAAATAAACAAGCTTTCCTGATGATGAATTTGAATAGAAAATTCGCACTTACCTTTCTTAGGTTCAAGGTTACGGAAACTGCTCAGATCGTTGACGTCTATAGAAAATGCCAACTTGTTCATTTGTTTGGCTGCCTAAAAACTACCAATATAACAGAATGAAGACTCAACGAAGTCAGCAAAAACTTCGGAAGCCAATAGCGAAGACTATTTGCAAACGCTGGCTAGCTAAAACACAATGCTCTTATAAACTTTTCATAAGTCCGCATAGACGAGCAGAACAAAAGCTTAACAGCTGAACAAACAATGTATTACTCACCCTATCAGGACTGCCCGATGGTGAATGTAACGTTTGCGTTTCGCCGCCATCCTCAGCTATAACCCAACCAGATGTATCTGGATAATTGGAATCTTCGACTGGACACCACTCTATGAATACACCAACAGCCTAAAAAATCGTAAGATGAGTTCTGTAGACATAAATTTCCGCACTGGAATATAGTACCTTTTCAACGATGGTCAGTGCTCCAGGAATAAATTCGTCCGAATCTTCAGCCAATTTAGCTGACACACCAGTGATACGAAGTACAACCTGAACAAGGTTTTAAGCCTTTAGAACACGATCATTGTAAAACAAAATTTATAGGTTTACTGAGCATCCAATCATTTTGTATGCAATTTTGCTCATACACTTCACTGATTGTCCAAGCGTTTTGACTGAAGGCTCGCTCATATTTAGCAGCTACCTGCAGTAGCCAAAAATGCAGACATTTTGCTTGTCATCTGCTTCTTCAATTTACAAACGGAGAATATCTTAAGTAGCGCTTACTCAGGCTGGGTTCAAACTGTCTGAACTTACGAATCAGTATGAACCCAACCTCAGTGGTGCACAAGAGAATTTAGAAGTTACCTCAAATGTGTAATTGCAATGCTGAATAGAACCTATTTTCCGTCGCTTAAGAAATAGAAAAAAAGGAGAAGAAACAAAACACTTGATGGATCGTACAGACAGCAATCAATCGCGACGTTACCTCCACATTTCAATTTGCTGTGTAAAGATACACAAAGAAAAAACGTCTTTGACACTTGCTTTAACCAAGATAAGGAGGCACGGTAAGCGGAAAAAATACTAAGAAGATAACAAAATCAATTTACCTGATCCGGTATCATAGAACGTGATAGATGCGAAGCCAGCGATTCCAAAGTCGAGTCCATTTCACGCTTATTTTGATCTCGTTTATTCTTTACGTATTTGTACGCGACGTATGGTAACATATATATGAGTCTGAAAAGCAAAAAATCACAAGGGAATCTTCTAGCAAATTGTACACGTGGCGCTTAGTCTAATTAAATCGATATGCAGAATGGAAAGCGAACGGAGGCAAAGTCAACAGTGAAGCGTGAGAAGACGAATGGTAAGAATCTCATCCATAAAAGCAGACAGGATAGGCCAGTTGATCATAAAATGCAACACGATTTCGACAGCAATCAATCATTGAAACATCCGCAATTTGCACTCCGCGAACAACACAGGCTCGAAAATTGCGAATCGTGATTTTCTCCATGAAAGCACAATCTGAAGAAGCCATGTCCGGGTGATACAAAAAAAGTGATGTCGCTGAAACCATTTTCCATGACATAACATTGGTGGACAATATGTGATGCAGCTTGCAGCTTATAGGCAGCATCTAGGAGAACGTATATGGAATTCCGCGCTTGACAAGATCTCAGTAGTCCCAAAAAAGCGGACAAATGTGCGCTCGGATGTAAACGAACTATAAAAGCGAACTAGGACTGGGACAGACAACCAAGAAGTGCAACACCAATAAAAAATAAGTGAAGATAGCCAAGAATTGAAAACAGCAAATATCTACAAAGAGACAAACTAGTGACCAAGTTTAAAAAAATCAACGCCTCCCGAAATGTGCACCTGCACAAAACGAACCAAAAACTAATATACACAACCCTACCTTCGCCTGGCCTTCACCAGTCCTTCAATAGCGCGTTTGTGAACTTCCACTCTGACCGGTTCGAGGATGCAAACGAGACAAGTTGAAGTGCCGCCTATTCAGAAAAAAAAAGATTCAGCCGGTCTACCGAAAAACGATAACGCAGGTCTTCAAGAAAATCACTTAAGCCAGTCATTTTCATTATCTAGGCTGTAAGAGCTAAAATCCACCTGCCATACAAGCCTTGAAAGGACGATGAAGCACGAGGCATGTGCATGCGGGAAGGTTACATACACCGATGTGACGTCACACAAGCACTTTGCGATTAGTTTCTATCATCTATTCTACGACTAGGAGACACGTGACCGCATTGCGGACATTGTCTTAACATGTTTGAGTTTGTTCTTCCCTGTTTCCAAAGAGTGAATAAACGTGGGCGAGATAAATGACAAGTACAAGTATAAACGTGCAAGTACACGATTAAGCTTGTTTAGACAATGTTGCAAAGCGGTCTCGCGTCTCCTAGTCCTAGAATGAATGATACACATCCGTACTACAAGGCTGCATAGCGGCCTACACTAAACCTTTCAAAGGTTTCAGAAATCTCAATGTATACACAATTTCCCAACGGTAATCTTTCTCTGAAGCTATGAATCATTTTGCTGATGACGCAAAGTAAACATTGTCAAAGATATGAGTGCTTCACCAACTACAGTTTGATCGAGCAACTGTTTCTGCTATCAATTAAGGCGCAAAATCGTGGAAAAAATATGCTAAAACTAAAATCCAGGAAATGCAATGAATCAGCAATGAAAATCCAATCATACGCCTTCACAAATGCGATCGATCAGCATTACAATATGACAGAAGGACATGAACTATGAAAGGGCGAAGCACTGACTGCAAATGAAACGCTGCAGATTGATTTTTTCTGCGCTGACTTGCGGCATTTCCGCTGCTTGTCGTGGAATCAAAAAAAAAACCTCTTGCAAAAGGTTCATGGAGGCATAAAATAAGCTGAAGAGGGCAAGACACGCAGAAATGTGGGTAAGAATGTTCCAAGCTTCGAGAAAAAGCGCTTACTCAACGCGCCGAGGACGGAAAAATCGATAGCGCCGGGCAGTGCCGATTGTGAAAGGACGCCGATCGCTGAGCAATAAAACGAGGCCAGCGATTCATATCCCCACAATCGTGTTGATTCATCGATGTTCACGGAGGGCTACACACAGCTGAAGCAAAGATTACGCTCAGCTGACATGCGATGACAAGACCGGTGCAAAACTACGTCGCAAACTCGTGATCCCGCCCAGATAAACAAGCGACGCGGCAAAGTCAGCGACCACATCGCCATTGTTTTCAGTGCAGTTCACAGCTCATACCAAATTGGTAAACTGGATCAAGGGTCGATCGAAAGTGAAGAAAGTGTCTTACTTGACAACTTCCCCTTCCTATCGTGTAGAGTGAGTACCCCAGTACCACTGTGAATGGCCAGAAGTCAAAGTGGCCAATCCAAACAAGCTGCATACCATTAGATGCAGCATAAAACGCTGACTTTGAATTCATACTCCATATCTGCTTAGCAGCTTTCTGGACGAAGTTATGAGCTACATATTAAATCCATTATGCTGCTAAGAAACCGCGCTGCAAAGCGCAAATTTGGCAGTGCAGAGTCATGGTCGGCTTAATGCTGGGCCAAAACATGCAGCTAGGTTAATTTACATTCTTAAAGAGCGCATTCTTGAAGGTGAGCTGAAAGTGCAACAATGTGCTCCATTTCGCAATTTTTATGCATACAGGACTTCTTTGCTATAAACTGCTCATAACGTCGTCCACAAAAGCGCTAAACGGATATGGAATACAGATTCGAAATAAGCGTTTAATGCTGCATTGAATGGTAGGCAGCTTGCTTAGATTGCCACTTCGACTTCTGACCATTCCCTTGTTAGAAGAGAAGAACATATTCTGTCAAAACGACATTCACACTTGCCACTAGAATTGATGCAACCCATAAAGCAAAATGTTATGAGGCAATCATAAAATTGGGTAATGGTGGCGGTGGCGTGCCATGTGTGCAATTTCGACTATTGCATTTTCATAGCTTTTGTCTCTCGAAGCTTTTTGCATGCATGAGAGCTTATGCTTCCTTCTTGCTGCTACCTTTGGTCTGCGTCTCTGACCTGCGAACGCGTGGCTAACATGTTGGCAACATGCAGCAACAAGTTGACATCATCCAGAAGCAGTCTTGCCAAGGTGCCCCTGCATGTTGCAAATATACGTTGTCCGCGCTGCGCGCGGAGAGCAACGCTGTTGCGTCAGTGAAGATAGTTGGGCGCAGAGAAAAACAGGCGGCGAGAGTGCACGGGGAAAGAGGAGTGACGCGCAATACACACCTTGCGCACTCTCCGCGCCCTGCGCGGACGGCCTATAGGTAGTATGTTGTTTCATGTTGCCAACGTCAGATATGCGGGGCAGGTCAGAGACGCAGACCAAGGGAAGCAGCAACTGTGATAGGGACGACAATATATTGCTGCGTGTTGCCGACACGTTAATGCGCGCCGCAGGCCAGAGACGCAGAGCGAGGGGGCAGCAAATCCAAATCTAATATATAAAGAAACGTAAGCGCAATTCAAAAATCTGCAAATAGCGGGAAACCGAGAACGGGTCCCGAAGCGAAAGCTCTTCCGAGTAGCACCTTTAGATTACTGGTTCACTAGTATAACGTAAGCGCAATTCAAAAATCTGCAAATAGCGGGGAACCGCGTGGCAGTCCCATCGCGCGAATGCAATCTGGCGCCTTTAATTGGCACACATCTTCAATCTTTCCATGTCCCTAGGGGCTGTACCTGAGATATGGAAAGAAGCATTAGTCACCCCGATTCCAAATCTGGTGCTGAATTAGTGTCAGACTTCCGCCCAATCAGCATGACCCCTTCTTCAGTCAAGGTTATGGAGAAGATTCTGCGTAATAAACTCACCTCTTTGTTGACGACATCGGGAACAATCCCCAAAGAACAGCATGGTTTTGTTGAAGGTGTAAGTACAACAACTAATCTAGCCGATAGCCTTTTCGACTGGACTATGGCAGTAAATAAAGGGCAGTCTGTGGACATCATCTTTGTTGATTTGTTCAAAGCTTTTGATAGAGTTTGCCACCATAAGCTCATCGAGAAATTAGAGTATTGTGGTATTAGAGGAAATCTACTCTGTTGTTTGAGTCATATCTATGGAACAGGCATATGACCGTGAAAGTTGGCTACAATTATTCTGAAAGGCATTTGTGTCCGAGTGGTGTACCTCAAGGAGGGGCGCTGTCTCCTCTTTTATTTCTAGTTTACACCATGGATTTACCAGATATTCTACGAACATCATTATCAATTAAGGTGCAAATGTACGCCGACGATATCAAGATTTACGGGATATATGACTCATCCAATTATGATGACGTACACATGGCGCTCACTAAATCAAGAGAATATGCTTAGTAGGTCTAGGCAGTGGGACCTTCCCCTTAACCCCGACAAATTCGGTCATGCATATCGGGCGAAGTAGAGTAACAACATATGAAGTCAACGGAGTCACACTCAAACAGTGTATTTCAGCTAAAGATTTGGGTGTTACTCTTGATCCCTGCCTCAGTTTTTTAACGCATATAGACTTTGTGGTCAAGAAGGCATACAATGTCCTTTATGCCATTCTTAGAAACGTACACTACCAGAATCCGAAGATCCTCAAATGTTTGTACAGAACATATGTCTTACCACACCTCGAATACTGCTCCCAAATATGGAGCCCATATCAGAAGAAAGATATTAATAGGATAGAAAAAGTACAACAAACTTTCACGCGGTTGCTTTATCTCAGATGCTCCAAAAACAAAACCCTGAAAAAAGATATTCCTTGTTACAATGATCGTCTCAAACTGTATGGTATGAGGAGCTTGGAGCACCGCAGAAAGTTGTCTGACCTCATCTTTTGTTTTCGAGTTTTACGTAAAGAGATTAATCTCTCAGCGAGCAAGTATTGGACCTTCATTCCTGCTAGTGTACGCTCCTACTCTTTCAATCTACACTATTCCCCAACAAAACGAAGAAGATTTTTGCTGGCTTACAACAACTTGTTTTATCGCAGAGCACGATGGTTGCAACATCTGCCTTCCGATATTCTACGATCGTCTAGCAGTGCCTCCTTCAAGTCAAAACTGAGGAGAGTTGATTTGCAGGATTTTGCTGACCTTTGTGGTTGAATTCAGTTCATTGATAGCCTTCTTTCAGTTACACGTTCTTGTCTTATCGCATTGCCTTACGACTGAAGATACTTCTTGTCAAACTAGCTACAGCCTAAGGTCATTCTGGCCACTACACTCGCACACAGTATTACAAAAAGTTATTGTTCATTATTGTTTTCTTGTTTGATTGCATATTGATAGCTCACGACTAGCCAGCTTAGCCTACTGGGAGGTCGTAAATTTTGTTTTCCTGATATGATTGGTATTTGAATCACAAGATAGTTACATCGGCTGACTTAATTGCCTTTCTGGTGTCTTTCGCTGTTATGACTCATCTTTTCTCATCTTTGTCTATCTTGTTGTACTTTCAGAGAGCCTGTGTTTTTTTATGGGGATTTAATCAGCTAGCCTCCGCCCGTAGGCTCGCTGGTCCTCAAAAGAATGGGAACTTTATCTCTGAAAGACAGTAAGATATTCAATACACTACCAATGCTCTCTCGTTTACAATTGGTTAGTGCTACGATTTAGTGAGTTAAACTTAAGCCTTTCATCGGAAATAATGTTTCATTGTTTTTCATTGGGATTAGTTGGCTATCGTTTGAGTTTACTATTAGTGTTTGATTTTTACTAACGGCACACCCAGAGTGTATTACAATAAATAAATAAATAAACTATTAGTTCACTAGTCTTTCTTCTAATTAAAACATCGTTAGCTCAATTCAAAAATCTGCACATAGCGGGACGAGGGCGGGTTCGAAGCGAACGCTCTTCCAAGTGGCCCTTTAGATTATTGGTTCACTAGCTGGCGAGGACGATATGATGAAAGAAGTAAAAGTCTGACGGCGTTAGTATTTAAACAATTTGCGAGCAAAACGAAAAACGCAACAGGACTCGAAAGTGGTGACATTTTTCGATACCGTCACAGTAACCATTATACCAGTAGGCCACATTAGGGAACGGCCATAGGTTGCCGCCAACTGTTGTCGGTTGTAGTCGGTGTTGTCCGTGTTGTCGGGGTTGTCGGGATCAGAGACGGTTCAGAGAGCACGCGAAAGGGGGTGGAGGACATTAGGTCGCCGAATTTGGAAGAGTCCCGCGCGGATTCCCTGCAGGAACGCACGTCCGCGCATGTACAAGGGTGCGTATTTGTCGCAAATGACCGCGGGGACCGCCCTTTTTCGGCGACATTATAATGTCCTCCACCCCGCGAAAGGCTATCATGAGGTCCTAGAACGACCGGCAACCTCGGCAACCCCGACAACAACTGACAACAGTTGCCGAACCTGTGGCCGTTCCCTTAGGGTGCAACTCTCGATCGTGTGGGTGTGCCCTGTTTCTGACCTAACCCTCATAATTCCTCGACCATAAACCTGCAGCAGATAAGGAAGGCAAACTTGGGGTCAGTTTCACGGCCTCTCAGGCAGTATAAATCTTATCTTAAATCTCCAATTAACCATCTTCCTTTGTTAGCCTCGGAAGTAGGGCCATGAACAGGCCCGAGTATGAATAATACACGGAAGTCATTTGCCCGGGGCTGCCTTTGCCAGTGTGGCCTAACACTGACGCTGGGAGGAGTTTCTACTCCCAGAGTCACAAAATAGAGATGACGCAAGGGAAACTGATATTTAGTACATATGTGAGAAAGTGGGAAGAAAGTGTCGACTACGGCACTGTTCTCGAGAAGTCGGGCAAGGACTGGAGGTTCATACATGTTGCAGTTCTAATAGCGGGAGACTATGTTAAGCAGTTTTCAAAAAAAGAGGTTTGACAATTTCATATCCTGACGTGAAGGTTTGTAATGCTGGGACAGGGTGAGTTCAACATATTCAAGTTTGATTTTGACAACTACTATCCAAAGTGAAGCGAATACAACGTTTGTGGAGCTGAAATAGGGAGGACGTGTGACAGGATTATAAAAGTCAAACCGACATCGTTTTTGACTTAGGCGTCAAAAAATAAAAAGTGCGTAGTATCCGCAGTATACGGACTTTACATTCAATTTTACGCCTAGTATCAGAAAAATGGGAATTTCTTGTTTCTGACCGTCTTTTCGAATCGGCTATATTATAGAAGCCAACAGGCATATGCTAAAACTGAGATTCAAAAAGTAATCTAAAGTGAAGTTCAGTAATCACAATGAACCAATCACGGCCAAATTTGGGATTTATATGTTTTCGAGGTCCTCCTTTTCAGTAACAGTGTCTGTTTGCTGAAAGCTGGAAGTGAGATTTCAAATGCTAGAAGTGAGACTTCAAATGCTAGAAGTGAGATTTAAAAAAATTTCCAGGTTGAAGTTCAGGAATATGAGTGGACCAATCACGGCCAGAGAAAAGTATTCCAAGTTGAAGTTCAGGAATTTTAGTGGACCAAAGCCAGAAGTGGGATTTATACGTTTTCGATGTTGTTCTTTCTCTGCTATGTTCAATTTCAGCCAAATTCAAGGTGAAGGCTAGATAATGGCCTCATGCCAAAATCATAAATTCTTTTATTTCGATATTCGTGCACATAAAACACTTACGACATCACTGACCTCGCTAACAGGTGTTGTAGGCAACAAAACTGTAAATAAGTCTTGCTTGATAATGGATTTATGAATAATCATGAGGCATTCTCCGAAACAATAACAGTCAACTAGTTATGGCTACATGAGATACAGCTCACAGCCTTTGGTGCCTGCGGCATTTCGCCCGAAGAAAACCTTTATGAGGTCAGAAATCGTGCGTGCGGGGAAGGGGAGACTGTACTACATGCACAATTGTGATCAAATGCAGGCACGATTCTAGTTTCACCCACAACTAACTTAAAAAAACAGGCTCTCTAATTTTAACCGTTGGATTCTGACCTTCAAAATTTGCTTGTAACTCTTGTATCTTGACCTTTTGCGCAAAACAGACATTGTTATTGAAAAGAAGGACCTCGAAAACATGTAAATTCCAAATCTGGCCGTGATTGGTTCATTGTGATTACTGAACTTCACTTTGGAGTACTTTTTGAAATCTCAGTTTTAGCATATGTCTGTTGGCTTCTATAAAATAGCCGATTCGAGACGGTCAGAAACAAGAAATTCTCATTTTTCTGATATTAGGCGTCAAATTGAATGTAAAGTCCGTACACTGCGGATACTACACGCTTTTTATTTTTTGACGCCTAAGTCAAAAACGATGTCGGTTTGACTTTTATAATCCTGTGGACGTGTGAGCATTGGTCGACTCATGCTTTTTCTGCAACACGCCTATATCGCGTACTGTGTGTACGTCGGACGACGGCGCGAAAAAATGGCTGACATCCGCCCGAATAACTCTGAAGCTTTCTCTCATTTCACAGCTAATTATGTACATAGATAGATAGATAGATAAATTTCTAACCGAGTTTTGCTAGCAAACTCTTGGCGAAGTATATATCCCACGTACCATCAGTAACGCTGGCGGGACTGTTTTCAGGATTCTGCCGTTCCTCGTGCAACCTGGTCATGTACAGGAGCGACGCAGTGATCCGCGTTGAAGATCTAACCGCACTGCACAGAGGTCTGAAAGATGCGTTGCAAGTGTTGAAGGATACCCCACTTTATGAAGGAGCTGATGAACTTTACCAAAAAGCACTCGATGAGGCCGAGAAGCTAGATAATCAGGTATCTAGACTCCATAGTATCTGCTTGAGAATTTTGTGAGTTCTTACCTTAGTTGGCTATGGATCAAGAAGTTTTGATAGCTTTGCACGAAAAAGGTGGTAGAGCACAACGTCTTGAGAAACTCAAAGAACAGTACGAGAAAGAGTGAGTGTTTTTCCTGATAACGTAAATGATTGTGGGGAGAGCTGTTGTGCTCTCCTGAGCTGTACTTTATTTTCTCAGGTGTGCCAAATCGAATGCTGTTGGGAGATCATCTGCCGCAATCGCCAAATTGCGCTCTCGACGTCCTAAGCCTGTCGGTTAGTCAGCCAAGTCTTCTTGATTGCCACAATAGTGGCATTTTGTATGTTTTTGTCTTCATTTCATGAATTTCAATATATTGACTTATTTGATTTTCGTCAAAACGTCAGACTCGTATCGACGATAATATACATTTTTACTCAAGTAAAAGGCTTACTAGAATAGTGCAGAAAATGAAGCTAACCATACTATGTATTGTTGGAATCTTCCTTTTGTGTAGAAACACCAAATTGGTTGGCTAAGCTCTATTCTTGCATCAATGTTTTGAGAATAAGATGGCTGGTTTCAGAGTCTTTTTCCAGCCGCATTTGCAAATTCAATAGAAAGTAAATAAGAGAGAAAAATTTTTTTGAACACTCCGTTTCGTTTCGTCCCTTAGATGAAGTAGATGATCCAGAACTCTCCCCGAAACTTCTCGGTGAGGAAGGAGAGTTTTGGAGCAGCTCAAACAAGTACTGCTCTGCTCCAAAATATAGTCTTTTTTCATTAGTCATGATCGATACTCATTCTATATCCTTTTTTTAGAGAAGTATCGCAGCTAGGTTTTTCAAAGACTTACCCGTTTAGCACGGTTAAGTAATAATTTGAGCGTCCCTGAGGCTATCTTACATTTTTTTTCTTTATCATATTATATGGTATAAAGGTAAATGAATTTTTCAGACATTAACCTCTACGATTCAATTTTTCAGAAGTTGAGAGCACCTCCGTGCAGCCTTCCACTAGTGCGGAAGAAGAAATGGCTGTTGTGGAAGTAGTTCGAAGTCATAGGGATCCCTTGGGTGGTGGCCTGATCAAGGATCCAGTGAAAAGCAAGGTAACTATGCGCTGTTGTGAAGGGGGCTTTAGTTTCAAAAGTGTGGATTATATGACTTCTGCAATATTTTCTCGAACCGTTATTGTCACTGAGAGTTCTACGAAGCCTTGCTAGGGGCTTCAGCTGATCTCCTCCCATTGTCAGCCGCCCTTTGGTTTCATTAAGCACTCACTTTGAGCTTTGCTTTCACGTCACTTTGGATGAACTCTTCAAGATACGAAATTCCTCGATTTTAAATTTGGTTTCCAGCATTGCGGTCATGTTTACGATCGTACAACGCTGCAGCAGTACATTCGCGAAAACCAAGAACGACGTAATGCATGTTATCAGTGCCCATACAGTTTGTGTAGGAACAAGAAAAACATGTGCATGGACGACATGATCGACTGCCCCGAATTTCTGGCATCTTGAAGATCAAACTGGCCTTTCATCAGAATTCTTTGCAGGTAGCCAGCTTTGATATTCTCCTAATGCTGTATTCTTCTTGATTTTCATGTGCTTCATGTTTGCGCAACAGTGTTTCTGCTTCTAGTGTTTATTAATGGCATGGATGCGGCCAACAGCGTTGTGTAATTTTCCTAGCATCTTATAAGGATAAAGTAGTTGTTTGCACTGTTGTAGGCAAAAACATCTATTACAACAAACTCCAGAAATGTTGGCTGATCCATTCTTTCCAAAAGCATAATCAAAACAATTATCTTGGTGTAGTCAGTTGTACCGTTTTTTCTTTCAGAATTGTTCGAAATTCCTTCCTCGATCTCCTGTTGCGTTCAGTCTTCACTCACCAGGGTTGTTCGGGCCAAAGTTTCTACTGAAAATATCGTTATCATTGTTTCATCTTTTTTCACAGCCCTCTATGTGCATATTTTATGAGCAGAAGAAATACTATCTTGGTGCGAAAGCCTTTGCTTTATCTTGAAACTGCAACCCCTTGCTTCGTTTCACATAACCAGATTTTATTGAAGATCTACTTTGCACACATTTAGTGCCCATTTAGTTGCTGATTGTTCTTGCCTTGTGTTCTTCACGGTACATGAAGCATGTTTTCTTGAACTCAGATTTACAATAAACGTAATCAAGGATCGCGTGCTCTATACTCCGTACATGCATGACATGAACTATTAGCTCAGAGGCTTCACTGCAAAACAGCTATCATTCCAGAAAATTTTGAACATTCGAAAGTTGTGGTAGCGTAATACTCGCAATCCCGTCGTTCTTTTCGACTTTGTAATTTACATCGCATAATAGGTTCTGGACATCGGAAAGACCGCCTTTGATAGCCCTTGCTTGTCGTTTTGAACTAGAAAATACGCTCAAGAGCAGTGTCCTATGATTCAGTCAGTTCTGTAATTTACACAAAGGATTCTCCAACTTCAGAGTTAAGGAAGTTGAGCAGAAGTTTTCGGAGCAAGAGACAGTTGTCTTGAGAATGACTGTGAGTTCAAGTAGATCCCCAAATAATTCTTGGTGAGCTGCCACAAACTCAAAAGGAAAATTGTCAATATATTTGGAACTCTAGAATGCATCAGAAGAAAACAACACGAAAAACAAGGCGATCGTTTGCATTTGGGGACCTAGATTCGGATTTGCATACAGGATTGTACCAATACAGTACTTACTCAGATACTTAGATGGCCCGGCTTCACGTGACGTGCAGGCCCTAGCTCAGAAGTTTCCATTTCTCCCTGTCCCTCGCTTCAGACATCCACGATCTTCTTGGCTGACGTCGGTGGCTGCGTCCACGAGTTCCAGGTGCAAAAATCGTATCCAGCTGATTTCTCAGCTGGTCCATCCGTTCCACGAACACGTCTGCCCATCTCGTTGGAGGTCTTCCTCGAGGACGTTTTGCTTCGCGAGGAATCCACTCCGATGTTCCTAGTGTCCATCTGTCGTCCGTTCTTCTCATTATGTGACCGGCCCATCGATGCTTCGCTTTCGCAACATGATCCGCTGGGTCACGAAGACGAGACATTCTCCTCATATCCGTACTGCGAAATCCGACGAGATGTTGTTTGTGTCGGGTCATCTTCAGAAGACTACGCTCTAGCGCTCTGTGGGTGGTCCTTGAGGCTTTCGAAGTAACTACGGTGTCAGCCCAAGTCTCAGCTGCGTAACAGAGCGCCGGTTGAGTCGAACAGGTGGGCACGAAGCTCCGGGTCCGTCAGTTGGTCGGTGGCTTCCTTCAGAGGCCCGAAGGCGGCCCAGGCTGCTCTTCTTCTCCTTTTAAGTTCTTCCCTCAAGTCGTTCTCCATGTTCATCGAACGTCCGAGATACACGTAAGAAGACGTCTCCGTGATAGGGGTGCCTTCCAATTCCATTTCTGCATCTTCGCAAAGGGCGTTCTTCATGAACTGAGTTCTTCCGATTTATTCGCAGTCCGATCTTCTTCCCTACTTCGTTCAGTTCCTTCAGCACCAATACAGTAGATTGCTTTTTGGCATAAATACAGCACCAGGATTCTTCCAACAGGTAATGAACAGAATGTGGGCTGATTGCGAGGAGTGGCAACGAAGCACTGAGCTTAGCGACATACCAGTCCGAGGAAAAACCAAGAAGAACATATGATGTTAGGTGTGCTTGCAAGAATCGTTCATTCTGAGAATTTTGTTGAGCCAGAGATATGATATCTTGGGTTTACAGTGAATAGAAACGGTAGAAACGGCAAAAGTCAGATTAGAAGGTCGAAGCGATCAAGAACGTGGACAAGTCAAGAGATATTGGTTGACTGCCTTTTTTTCTGCCATAATAATGCTGCCTTTATGCCAAAGATCAGGGAATCTCGTAGTCTGTTGGGTGCATTGCTGGAAGAGAGAAAGGAGTGGATTCTACGACAGTAAGAAGCATTCAAACTCATAAAACGCTGTCGACTGAGCTTAATCTTGCACATTATGATCCATACAGGAAATCGTTGTGCGTCAGCGACTGTGGAGTCGGGTTGTGATATTGCACATATTAGCTGATGTATCTAAGAAACCAATTGCACATGCATCGCGATCTCCTAGAAAACCGGAGTAAAATTGCTTGCATCGAAAAAGAAGTGGGATTTCAAGAAGCACCAGTACATCAGACTTCAACGACTTGCATTTAGCCAAATTTATGGTATTTGAAAATCATCAACCATTTCTGGTCGTTTGTGCTGATAAGAAGGTCTAGTGATAGCCAGCCAATACGGCAAACAAATGCAGTTTTTTCCTTTACTGGCCTGACATTCGACTAGTTGTCCAAAAGCGCGCCGTAAAATTGAAAAATGCAGCGATTTTGTCTGCTACCATAGCTTGAATCGCAAAGAACAGACACCTGTAACAAAGCGGAAAAGAAGTTGCTTTGGACGGTACCTGCACTGTTCACCATCATATTCTACGAGGTCAGAATAGGTTGAATTTGATCATTTCGGGAATATATACCAGTTATTCTTCAAAAGTTTGTCCTATTAGCTGGCTATCATTGCACCCTCAAAGTCTCAGATAAAAATCAAGAAATTAGAGAAAGTTAGACGTGGTACGGTAAACTTCAGCGATTGTCTCAGCGGTCCTCGGAAGAGTCCCATCGGTAACATCACTGGCGAAAAAAAGAACAAATTGTGTATCCAGTTCTGCTTGAGTACTTGTTTACCTTCTCCGTTACTAGGTTTGTGGATTAGCTCAAGAAATGGAAAGAACTTGCACCGACTCAATGTGTTTCTTTATACCGTAATTTTTGTACTTTCGTGGCGTGCATCAACTCCGGCCTCCCCTTGTCATGTTCCTATGTTTTGTTCCCTATTTTCAAAACATTTCGCATAGCCTAAGCTTGATAAATGGATGTCTTTGGAAACCACAGTTCATTCATTCATTCTTCATTCATACTCGACGGTTTACTACAACCATGTACAATACCATGATGAATCTGTCTATGGTTTTAGGTATTCAGAGTGAGACTGCTTATGATTTGCCAAGTCTTTTCCATTGATTAGGGCCTTTAAAGGCAGTGTCCGGGCAAAAAGTCGCTTTTGAGATTTTGTGCTTACCCGGACCTATGCACTATGCTGAATCCGAAAATTTACACTGGAAGCGCGAAAATGGTGAAAAAGGTCTCTAACGCAGGAGGGAAATCAGAAGTGGGCGGGGTCTTCTCCACTGTGAATTTCGAGGTCTTAGCTTCCGGAGCGATTTTCTCGAACCCGTTAGCCGCCCTGAGATCACCACCCGTCAAGTGCGAAGGAATGACTTGAAACCGGAATCAAAAAGATCGCCCCCGAAGCTGGGAGAGTGAATTCATGGTGGGGAAGACCCCGCCCACTTGCTACTTCCCGCCTGCGTTAGAGTTCTTTTTCGCCGTTTCCGCGCTTTCTAATGTGGATTTTCGGATTCAGCATAGCGAATAGGACCGGATAAGCACAAAACCTCAAAATCGAGTTTTTGCCCGGACACTGCCTTTAAATTCTTTTTGCCAGTAACGAGTGAATTTGCAGTTAATACATTGACTTCCAATGTCGTTTCCCATCGCCTTCTGGGTCTGCCATCACCAAAACATCGACCGATGGCTGGTATCCAACGTGTTAAAGCTCTTGTCCAGCTTTCTTCTCATTCGCAGCTAACAAGGGAAGGACATTTGATTGCAGTGACGATCGGGTAAGCGGTGTATAACGCGTATACCGTCCCCAGAGGGTGATTTCTAAACCGCATTCCATATCTGCTATGACGTCATTCTGGAGGAGTTCTAAAGGGTTTTTGGTGCAGTGGATAGCGGCTTGGACTGCGGAGCTGGACATCGTGGGTTCGATTCCTCTGGAATGCCACCCGTTCTGCATTTTTGTAAATTTTAGCAGGCAATTTGCAAAACCTGTCGACATCAAAAAGTTGATTGTCACAATATAAGCAATATATTTACATTGTTGGCACTGAACAACCGCTTAACCTAAAAACACTCGTTTTCAGCCTTTTTCATTGAATACTTACTCAATTTTACATTGAAAAATTCCGAATTCGTGCGCAACATAGAGAGGAGCAGCTAACCTGTCTTTACAAAAATGCAAAACGGGTGGCATTCCAGAGGGATCGAGCCCAAGACGTCCAGCTCCGCAGTCCAAGCTGCTATCCACTGCACCAAAAACCCTTCATAACTTTTCCATGAATGACGTCATAGCAGATATGGAATGCGGTTTAGAGATCACCGTCTGGGGACGGTATACGCGGTATACACCGCTTACCCAGTCGTCACTGCGATCAAGTATCCTTTCCTTGTAAGATTTTTCTTGCAAGGTTCCACTTTCTACTCTAACAACGTCCTTGAGCTTTGTAATTGAACGGATCAAACGAAATCCGAGCATTGGTCTCTCCACACTGCGCTGAAACCACAGTTACGCTCGGAAAGGGGCTTGCAAACTGCTATTTTTTGTTGTTTTTGCTGGCACTCAAAAATGCCACAAACTGAAAATAATACGATGCTGCAAAAAACTACAATGCTATTGAACCCCTCAAACAATAAAACAATCACATCTCCATTGTTTTCCGTTGGGAGCTATTTACAGTGTCTATTTCCTGGCTTTCGCGCACCGTCGGCTTGATTTGTTTGTTCAGTTTAGTTTGGGCACCTGCACTGACCAGAGGATGACCAGCACCATCGCCGCCGTATCTCATAGCTTCAGTCATCATGTTCTCTATAGTACTGCTTTGCTCTGTGGTAATAAGTACTGTAAACTCTAGGATATTTCATAAGGTAAGTATAAAAGTTAGTACGCTTGTTGCAAGAAGTATTCACTAAGTCATGAAATATTTTTAACGTGGTAAAAAAACCAAAAATGAAATTTAATCGGCGATAAGACTCTTAGCACTTTTTCAATGTTGTCTTAGAAAAACTGTTCTAAAATTACAGCCCCGCGAATTCCGCTGTCAATCCCTAATCGTTTTTGGCGACAGTCTCTCAGATGATGGAGTTGAGGCTGTCGGCGAATCTCATGGCTTCACTCGCAACTCAAATGGCAAAATTTGGCCAGAATATGTGGAAAAGATGCTCCAATGCGATGAGGTAGTTTGCCCGTTTTTTCTGGGACAATTTAATGCAATAATATTGTTCACAGTTCATAAACTATGCCTACAGCGGAGCAAAAAGTAGCATAGATAACTTCTATTTCGATGGATGGTCCGGTGTCAGTTGGCAAGTACAAAGATATCTTGAAAATCATTTGAATCTTAATGGTGGTACGTCAAAAAGACCTTTCTTGTCTGAAAAAGATTTCTCGTCCTTTTAGAACCCCTGATAATTTTCCAAACAGGAGGTGTTGTCGACTATTTTACCGGAGAAAAAGATGCGACTACTGTAGTTGCTAATATCGAAGCTAGTATAGAAAATATTACAAAGGTAATTTTTCACTTTCTATCTTTCTTGCAGTAAAACCGGACCATATTCTCAGACTATGGATTCTGGAACGCTTTTCGTCCTAACGCTTCTGGATCTTGGCAGCTCGCCAGGAGTACGAGCCGCAGAAGAAAGCGCCGATCTACAGCAAAGGCTTGGCGAGCTTGTAGCTGAGACAAACAGGGTAAGCGGTGCACAAAATACGACAATTTTCCGCTAAAAAATTATCCGGGAGAGATTTTTCGCCCTGAGATCGATCAACAATCACGCAGTTTTTTAGAACAGTAGGTTGCGCGATAATGATATCATTTTTTATTGCGCATAAAAACGGAAAGTCTGTGAGAACTGTCATCACAATCAAAAATCTGCCTTTTTAAAGTTCGTTTTCCTATTTTCAAATATGAATGCTCAACCCGTACGCGCGCTTACGTTGCACGATTCTGTAGCGTGCGGTTGCGCGGATGGAAAAGGGAATGCGCGATTGGCACAAGTTATGGTTTTGCGGATAGTAGGTCCCGCTGCGATTTAATGTTTTTTACTTCATTGCTTGAAAAGCACAAATCTAACGGAATTAATTTTGCTGAGTTTGTTTTCTTCAGCACCTTTCCCGAATCGTCTTCGACTCCGAACGTGGCGCTCGACAACTTTACCCGAAACTAAGGATCCGTCTGTTAGACATCAATCCAGTAGTTATGGAGGCCATGAATTCATTGAATTCGTCAGAACCTTTCACATTCCACAACGCCAATGTCAGGTAATTTTCATCTATATTTTTAAATTTGGTCACATAACTTCCGTAAACATTTTTCCTAAATAGGGAAGCAGTTTTTGAGTACAAAACTTGTTCCTGAAATTACATATTGTCTTGGTATTAGAGTTGCTTTCTTCCGTCTCAGGACCATTCGATAGCAAAACCCGTCCAAATTCTGGATTCCATGCTAAATGAACTCCTTTCAGGCCCCGTTCTATCTATGGCTATGCATATCACGATCTTTGGAATCCGTCCACCATAGTACACTACGCCCTCGCCGAAGAAATTGTGAAGCAATTACAAGATCTTTGATGGTCCACACCCGTGGTCCCCTTTTATAGCTCGAATCTATTGTTTACGTTGTGCTACCTTACTTAGATACTCCACTGCATTTTTCACTGTCTTTACCTCGTCAATGAATGCGTGTAAATAAAAATCTTATAAAATCTATGAATTTTTCAGGTTTTTTGCGTTAAAAAATCACGACTTTTTACCTGGCTTTTCAACCCTTTCTCATGAATTTTTTTCCACGAAAGATCAAAGAATCCCACTTGTTTTCACTTATAGCCGCTCTTTGGATTGTTCGGCCCCCTTCTGCTGCTGCAGTTATCTACATAATTGCATTTTCGGCAGGATGTTATGTCGACATCCCGCTGCGAAGACGACCGTGCTTAAATTTGCATGACTTAGACGTAAGGTGACAGCGAAAAATTGCAACTTCACGGCTACGAACATTTGCACAATAACTCTTGCAAAGAAAAAATACTTTGGATTTTGTACATGAGGTCAACATGCTGCGAAAATACACTTTTTAGCTAAACTTCTTCAATTCTTTATTATTTTTTCATTTTTAGTTATTTCTAAATTTCTAGAAGAAATTCATTTATGGGGGGTTTCTCTCAGGATGACCTACACTTTTTGCACTGTCGTTTTTGTGAGTTTGCAACCTCTTTCAGCTGCTATAGTGTCTAATAAATGCTATAATTTGACGTATATAAAAAGAGAAATTCAATTTTTTTCGCTTTTCTTCGATTATAGGGACATAAAAAAGCATGAATTTCTTTTAGTTAGAAGAATAATATGAAAGCTTGATTACGTCGATGACTATATCATCGCAATTAAGGCATTTTGGAAGTTTTTGGAAATTGTGGTCCCACATATGACTAGATCATATACAAATACATATGAAAAACACGATTTTTCAAACTGTTGGCAAATTTCTTCCTCCTAAATATTAAGTTCTTCCATATCATAGCTTAAAACCGAGCAAAACAACAAATTTCGAATATTTTTATATTCAGCAACTAAAAAGTGCTATACTTCTGCGAAAATGTATCAGGCCATTTTCACCTTACATTGCTAGGGAAGTATGAAACAGATTACGTTTGCTAATCCATTTGAAATTGGCATGTATTTTAATCATGTTACGATGCCCAGTTCCGAATAACTATTTTGGACATTCAATTTATATAAAAATGTGGCTGAATTTTCCAAAACTGTCATATGATTCTGTATAATTCAGATAGAAACAGAAACAACGTCTATAAAATTTTCGTACCTTACTGCAATTTTATTTGAATGGCTTCTAAATGTTCTCGAAATTGCTCGCATGCATTGCTAATTCAATGCAGTTTCTGAATATATTGCCTTTGCATCTATTTCCTTACTTCCCTATTTTCACATTCAGGGTTTGCTTTTGAAGTGGAATTTGTAAAACACAAAACTGTGCCTAATTGTAGATGACTCAACCAGCTATTAGCTGAGTCATATAATTATTTACGAGTACTATCTTAAGTTCAAATACGACCAACATTATATTTTTTGGAAGATGACTGTTGAGAATGGCATTTGTAGCCAAAACTCAAATTCACTGAAATGGAAAAAAATTGGATTCTAGCTTTGTTTTTGATGTCAAGCTAAAAACTTCTATATCTCGCTGTTTATGCTCTGAATTTTTTCATTAAAAATATTCAGCTCGCTTTCCTCTCAAAGTATAGACTTTTGATGAAAATTGCAAGTCTATCGACCACTTTTTATTTATCCCACTCTCTTGCTTTCTTTCCCAACTCCATTAAGACTAGCGAACAAGCAGTATTTCCACCTGATTTCACTCTCACCCATCGAACCGCAATATTCGCTTGGCGACTGAGATTTTAGAGGCAGAAAAAAATCGGTATGTACTTTAGAGAAACATGCACAAGCATTTTGCATTTCTTCATGATTTGCCTAAGTGGAGAGCTTTGTATTTTTTAGACCCTCAGTATTTGGGCAAAAGCTAAATCTCTTCTATCTCAACGTCATACAAATGACGTCGAGGAAATCTTTTAAAAAGTTGGATTTTTCGTCTCAGTCTTTGTCCATTCGTGGAAGCAGTGTCTGTAAAGTGGATTTTTGTTCATCCCATTTATTATTTACTCGCTCGGTCTTCTCATGTGAAAATTCTATGAACTCAACCATACTTTGCTTACTCTAGTCATTTGAATCAGACTGAATCTCTTTCAATTTCTCATCTTCGAAATCACTAGCTCAATCCTCAAGATTGAAATCTTCGCTTGATATGCTGTCCACTTTGCCCTAATCAATAAGTTTTCAAGAGTTTGCCCAACTTTATTGACATTTTGCACATTCTGCAAAAAAAAAACTCATTTCCACTCTAGTAGACTAACATAGATGAGAGGGAGGGTGTTATGGATATTCTCAATTCTAGCAAGAGAAGTAAACATTGCAGACGCTATTCATCGGCGAAAACCTTCGCTTTGGGATGTCGTACATAGTCATAACAATCTTATGTAGCTTGGATAACTTGTCCCATCTATATTTCCGGCAAAAATTTCGTGAAAAAAGAAACTTTTGGCACTCATACTACGATACCTTAGGACTAATACCGTAACCTTAAATTCCTTTTGTTTTTCAGTGGAAACGGCCTCTTTGGTTCAGATAAATGCGTTGTTACTCTCCCAATTCATTGATACTTCGAGGCAGCGTCCAGGCAATTCTGGACATATGGGGCTCTCACGTGGGCCGTAATTTTGGGGTCCTAACTAAGCCACTGCCCAAGCGGCAGCTCAGGTAGTGCTTCAACGGCTAAATATTCGCCCCGAAACTGGACCCGGGATCGTATTTCGCATGGATTCATGGCATAGCCCATGGGTCCTCGCGCGGAAATGATGGATTGCGCCATGAATCCATTCGAAATATGATCTTGGGGTCCAGTTTTGAGGGGAACATCTCAGTCGTTAGGGCACTACCTGAGCTGCCAGTTGGGCAGTGAATTAGTTAGGGCCCCAAAATTACTATCCACGTGAGAACCCCATAGTCCAGATTTGCCTGGACGTTGCCATTAAGCAAGGTTTGTCTGAAAAGATCTACGCCAACGTAGAATCTGCAGAAAGCGAAGTGGTGCGATCCAGCTCCCGTATCGACCGCACCGCACCCGCGGACGCAGTTCCTGCATTGTCTGCGCTGTTCTCATGCATATCTGTAAAATCATAACACTTGTAAAATTAGGTGTGAATCCGAGAGTTTTAGGCTTTCTTTTCGGCAAAAATCCAGTCTTACATGCAGATTAAGTGTGAAGTTATATGCCAGCTCAGAAAAATGCATATCATCTTTATTAAGTTTGGCTTCTCTGTTACGTGCTTAGTTCCACGGACTACGACTGTCGGAATTAACAAAGCTATTAGCAAAGCTCGAGTATTGGAACTTGGCAAGATTTTTTTTGCATCTGACGCTCAACACGTAATAAGGTCTTTATTTACCACTTTTCCATTCATAATTTGCTTGATTGCCCCGTTAAGTAACTTTTTATTTTAATCCAGGTTCCGTTACGCCGACATAAGCTTGTCCTATGTCATTAAGAGCTATTCCTTTTTTTGTTGACACTATAATAATCAACATCCATTCTCACGTTAGCACGTAGTCTAAGCCATTGCCACGCCTGGAAAACAAAATTTACGATGTACATAACTATTGCACACCTTTGCTTTGTGCTTCTTCATACTTCTAAATATGACTTATTTCTCATTTCTTTGAGTAAAAATCGACAACTCGGAATGCTGGTGACTCAAATTTGTGGAAAAGGATGACCATTAATGGGCATAGCCGCGTTCATTAGTTGAGCGGATCATCTTACAAATGCGGAAGGGAACATTAGAGCTTTTTATCCAATCTAAGTGTCGAATCAAATGTAACGAAAAACATCGCTTTACAAAAAAGCCTGAGTCAAGTGCCCCCCCCCCCCCTTTCCTCTCCTCCTCACACGGTGGAAGAAGGAAAGAGCCCTAGATGTCTGAAAATTAGTATTGCGCATCCCTAGGTGGAATTTTTTGCAGTTAATTAACAAATGATGTATTTGAAACTCGACCCAGTACCGGCAAACCTTCAACAAAAAAGGTCAAAAGCAGCATTGAATATACATAATCTTGTTCTCCTCCCATTTCCGATACCAGTCCACTAAATAGAGATTTATTTATTTCATTGCACCTTATCTGATTTCAGCTTCGTTTATTGAGCTATGCACTCAAAACAAATCTTTTCTTTTGTTTGCTTCACTTTGAGCTGTTATTTTAAAATATGACGTTTATCTTTATGTGAATTTTGAAGTTTGGTACCAGTATTTGCTTGTTGATGATTTCGTACCAAAATTAGCAATGAGATTGTGACTATTTTTCCAAGAGGAAATTGAATTTTTATATTTCACTTTATTATAATCGCATGCTAAAACCATCTTCCTTATGATGTTGATTTTTCAAAGATCTGATCAGAAATATGATTCCATCAAGTGGTGCTGATGAATTTTGTAGATTTTTTTGCAACACAAAATAAAAATAAGAAAATTAACCGGTACTAAGGCGGTCCGATTTGAATGCCATAATTCCATTTCATTTCACGTTAATTTGATAGTACCAAAACTGAGAGCATTTTCCAAAATGATGTTTTCATCCGAGTTCTTTTTTCAGTTCCTGGTGACTAATACCTAGACTTTTTGAGTAGGCCATGGCCTTTTTGTGCAATAAAAAACTATACACATGAATTTCTGAAACATTAAGGTCGCTGAACTTACAGTTTTGCCCAGTTCTGATATTTTTTGCAACATTCTTGCAAGCTCGTGCATATAAGTCTTTCTTGAAAGTAACGATCGCGCTAATGCTTCGCCTCTTAACGAGCACCCAGGGCGTAAACCTGGAAAAATTGCACGAGTTTTGCAAAAATTCGGATATAATATCAGCTAATCTCAGGTTTGACTTCGTCAAAAACCTTTTTTAGGCGAAATAATTTCAGGAAGTAATTCTAAACACAGTTTGTCAATTGTACTCAAATCAACATAATTATATCTTTCTACGCGAATTGATTTTATGTTCTACTTTAGGCCTCAGTATTTGAGGTTAAGACAAAGCTAGTAGGATGCTTAGACAATTCACCGGAACTTCCGCAGGATAACCAAAACTTGCAGCGTTTCCGCAGAATTTTGTTTGCCATTACGAACGTGGAAACGTTACAAGGGGAAGTTCCACAGGGCTTCCGCAGCATTTAGTAAAAATGCTGCAAAATTCTGAACAATGCCAGCTGTTCCGCAGCAATTTGACCTGTCAGTACTTTCGCAGGACTTTAAATGTGTTCTTTTACGATATGTCTCGCCAATAACCAGAGTGCATTATTGAAAATGTCATCAATAGTGCAGAGGATAGTGATTGAGTATCACAGTTAATAGAGCAACGTTCAAATCTTGCTAAGGCGTTCTCTTTTGCTATTGTGGTTTGTATTCTTCGGAGCTTCCGCAGCACGTTTACGGAACTTTTGCAAGTAATTCGGCGGAATCTTCCCAAACTTTCTGCGGATGTTTCGGTCAGTTATCTGAGTGAGTGTCTGCTCTTCTAGTGCCACTGCTCCTCTATAGTTATCTCCGCTGACTAAAATCAAGCCATTTTTAAATATTTTTTCATAAACTTGCCCCGTAGCTGATCCTAGCATTACCATGTTAGTCCTTATATTAGGTCGTTCCGAAAGTAATGTCGCTTTTTTCAAAGGTACGCCACATCTCGTGGAACAAAGATTTGTAAGAGGTCTTGGGAGCATTCGATGCAGAATTTCATTCTCTTTCTAATGGTTATGAAATTGTTGCAAAATAGTCAATGAGCTTTCAGAAAATAACCAAAATCTGCAACCCATGTTTTTTGACATGGTCAAGTTTCACGATTTTTCAAAACTTTCATATCAACCATCAGAAGAAGTTCAAGGGATAGTTCGATAGAGCAAACCTCATAGAATACAGAGCAACCTTTTTCTTTCTTCCATGGCTTGTCATACATTTTCAATAGAATTTTAACTGATGCTACCGATTTCCATACTTGGACAGCTAAACCCTCGTAGAACATCAAAGGAAGAGCAGCTCGGGCGTTTAGTTTTCGGAGATAAAATCATTACAATTCATTTTTTTAAGGAGCCCTAAGCTGTACCCGAAAAACCCAAAATTTGATATTTCGAACCCGTAAACTCTCATTTGCTTTATAAAATCGATATTAAGTCATATATCATCTTGAAAGCTTAGAATTCCGAGTAATTACTGATGTTTGATGCGATTGTGGCTGAGATGGGCCTGCTAAAATGCGATGGCTTTGTTAAAAAAATCTTTTGAAAAATTACGGCGAATTACGAAAAAGAGAAAATGTAGTACTGTATTCTATAAGGTTTACCCTATCGAACCTTTACTTGAACTCCTTTTGAGGATTGATATGAAAGCTTTAATAAATCGTGAAACTTGACAATCCCAAAAAGAATGGGTAGCAGGTTTTGGTTATTTTCTGGAAGCTCATTGACTGTTTTGCAACAATTTCATGACCATTAGAAAGAGAATGAAATTCTGCATCGAATGCTAACAAGATTTCCTGAAAATGTTTGTTTTTTCGAATGTAACAACCGTTTGAAAAAAGCGACATTACTTTCGGAACGACCTAATATATTTGGTGAGCATACCCTACAGATTCGATTCCAATATTTCCGTGCATAAATAATTTTTAAGTGCACCTGATATAAGCAGTTTTACTTTCATCACTGCTTGATGCGTGTCATCCTTACTCCCACGAATGATAAATATCGAGAATCTTTATTTTTTCATATAAAATGAATTGCTGAACGATAGGACAGATGGCATGTCTGAAAGTGCAAGATTTGATAGTCCGTGAGGCACCACGGTCGGGTTTATCCAAAGCAGTGTATTTGCCCTCGTAATTGCATTTACGTCCATAGGTATGATGTCTATATCTCACTCTTTGCCTTTCAACAGAACATCACAAAGCTTATCGTTGTTGAAATGAGAAAGTTGTCGCCGTAGTTTTAGGCGCAGCTCTGAGAACTTCTTCTTTTGCCATATTTTCCTGAGCAGTCTTTTTTTTATATTCTCTTCCTTAAACTGGTAGTGTGCGTACTCTTTGACTCTACATGCTCAATACAAATTCTGCAATTACAAATGGTGAGTAATTGTTGTATATATGTTGTTTATGACGGTAATATCACTTACTCAGACAATTCATCGTAACTTCCGCAGGACAAGCTAAATTTGCAGCGGTTCCGCAAGATTTTTTTTGATACTACAAAGGTGAAAACATAGGAAAGGGAACTTTGCGGGATTTTCACGTTAGACTGGTTGAAAAGGGGAAGTTCCATAGGGCTTTTCACAAAATGCTGCGGAATTTCGGAATGATGCTAGTGGTTCCGCTGCACTTTGGCCTACCAGTACCTCCGCAAAACTCTGAATGTGTTTCTTACGATGTTGTCTCGCCAACATTTGGAGTGCTTTCTCGAACATGTCATCCGTAGCGCAAAGAATAGTGAGTGAGTTTCGCAGCCAATAGAGTAAAGTTCAACCTCACTTAGACGTTCTCTCTTGCTTTTTCGAAACTTCCGCAGCAGATTCACAAAACTTCCGCAGGTGATCCGGTCGAGCTTTCCGAATGTTCTGCGGAAGCCAGTTGTCTGAGTAGCACCTCCTCAGATCACAATAAAGTGGAAGATTAATGGAAACATTATCCTATAGTTCTGAAGGATCCAAGACCAACAAAAACGAAAATTTTTCCAAGTTCGTCTTTCTATAAATCTTGGCATCTTGATGAACAATTATGTGCAGTTGTTGAGCCTTATATAACCAAGATTGTTAAAGTTGTTTATTAGGCTAACGTTTCGGCTTTTCGCTTTTTAGTTGCTCCTCGCTTTTTAGGCTCTGACGAAGGCGAAAAGCCGAAACGTTAGCCTAATAAACAACTTTAACAATCTTGGCTATATAAGGCTTAACAACTGCACATGAAAACTCTTCCGTTAGTCTGCTTTCGCTGTGCAGCAGAGCAAATTTTCAAGTTTTGCGTCAAATCTCGTTTATCAACGTCTGCGTATGCACCCTCACTGCGAAAATGCGAACAGTCTCAGGTGACGAATCTAATTACAAACTTCAGCTTCTCTACTGGTTAGTTATGTATCCTTCATCTGCTATCTGCATATCGCCTCGTCTCTTCGCATCCTCCAAGATTTTTTCGTGGCGCGCAGGAATGTGCAAAAGTGCCTTGCTTAAAGCTGCTTTTCTTCTTTGGTTTTATATTTAGAACTAGTTTAGAATATGTAACGGATTCAAACTCCAAAAAAAAATCCAGCATTTCCATTTATAGAAGATTCTTCTTTTCCAATGAACCTTCATATCACATCAGATCAATCAAATTAGGTCCAAATCAGATATGGCGCTCTCTAGAAATCTCAAATATTTCTACCTTGAAGCGCGAGAAAAAAGCTCACCACGGCAGCCAATTTTCACTGAAACCTCTTTAGACGCATGTACTTGCCGAAATGGACACATTTTATCAGTAGCTTCTGTTGGAAGTATTATGTTACTCATGAAATATTCATAGGAAAGTGCGTCTTTCCTAAAATCAAATTTTGCGGAAATTACATACTAGTTAACAGCCTTTTTCGAGTTTTCAAACACTCTTCAAGCCGGAAACACTTTCCATGTTATAAGTCCTCCTTTCTCTTTGAGTCTTGGGAAGTCGATACTCTTTCAATACTTTTCATGTCATTTTATGTTATTAATTCATAGCACTGGTGCCAATGTGAAGGTATCTTTTTCATTGCTAATGAATTTGGTTCACGGGACTGTAATCTTAACTTAAGAGCTGTTTTCGAATTTTCTCTTCTCCTTAGCTTTTCATGACTTAGAAGCTTATGCGGCAGTGTTTTTGCTTCCTTCTCACAATCACTGCTAGAAGTCATAGTTAATTCACACACCCATTCGTCAAGGGACACATGCCCTTATTCTGCCAGTAATATTATATTTATTGCTTTCCTGTTTGATAGTTGCCCCGGGTAGGTACTTTAAAGCTGCACATCAAGACAATTTGCAGCTTTTTTTCTGTTCTGATTTCTCCTCCGTTTGAACTAGTCTTATTAAATAGGAACCGTGGGCTTCTTATGTGGAAAGTGATTGGGGAGTCCTAGGCAATGGTAAGCGTAAGTAGGTAGCAACTCGTATGATCTATTCGTTGCTGGAAAGCTAGCTCTGAACTCACGCTCAGTACCTTAATCAGAGCTCAAGTACAGTACTGGGCGAGAATTTGGTTTGAATTTCTATCAAGAATGAAGAATAACTTTAAAGTACTCGGTTAACATATTTCTTATCAGTATCCATCTGACAAGGGAAGCGTGTTTAGTCGAAGTGGCCTTTCCAGATGAGACCCATACTGCTTTGAAGAGCATTAAGCGTTGATTCCAAACCTGCCTTTCAAATCTGCCAAGCGCCTCTGGACGCCGAGTTATGGGCGTTTCCCAGCAAAAAATTGAACGCAAATTTGAAGCAAAATCGCCCAGATTTACTCAAGTGGTCCGATATCAAGTATCAGAGCCTTTATGCAATGAATACATTTTTTTCTAATATGCTAATACTCAACATTGCTTTATTTAAGAAAGAAAAGATTGTAATAATCGATTTTATATAAATTCTGCATTCATTTTTCGTTCCAAAAAACGTTTATAACTCGGCGTTCAAAGGCGCTTGGCAGGTTTGGAAGGCAGATTTGGAATCATCGTGTAATATTGTCCAAAGCAGCACAGGTATCATCTGAAAAGGCCACTTCGACTAAACGCGCTTCCCCTTTGAGATTCAATACGTGCCTAGATTGCTCTGAATATCTTTTTTTCAGGACTTTTCTGTAGTTTCTCTTTCAGAATGGTCGAGTCAGCGACGTCGCCCGAGATGTTCTTAGTAGTGCTTGCGATCTCGATGTGTAGCATTCTATTCTGCTTCACCATTGGTGTCGTCGTAATCTTCCACTGTTGCGATGTGAAAGAAGTTAACTTTGAAGAAATACCCGCGGCTATCCTAGAGGTAAGAAATTACTAAATATGGCAAAATCTACGGGTACATAGTCTGCCGAGGCCAGTTCCCGCCAGATCGCGCCGCTGCTGCACGCAATGGCAGTTTTATATGTAGGTAAAATTTGTCCAGGGTCGTGAAGCGCTATGGTGTTGCGGTGCCGGAACACTTTGAATAGCCAATACCCACGCGGCACGGCGCTGGCACCGCGCTGGAACGGCGCTTACACAGCCACGGCACAGCGTCTGCACATGGGCAACTTTGTAGGCTAGCCCATGGTGAGGAGCCTATCCCATTAGATCTCATGCTAATGATTTCTATTGCTTGTCTGAAAGGCAACGAAATAAAACTAGTAGAAATGGAGAGGATACGGAAGTTTGCGCCAGTGGCGCGATTTGGCGGGAGCTCTCAAAAAATGATTGCATGAAAATGATTTTGTCAAAACCCAAGCGGTTATGCTTCCAAATTTCAGAGAACTCGTCATTCAATAAACTGGGCGCGAAATTCAATATTCAGTCATCATTCCGAATGTATAGAAGACATCGAGGACAACCAATTTTTGTCTCCTCAACGGGCATACCTGAAGACGCCAACACCAACACCTGTCGAAGTGTAAAGAACGTAGATCTTTTGTAAGTATAAAGTATTTTATTCATAGTTTTGCGTACTTTTGTGAAGCCTAGCTTTTCTAAAACTCATATTTACCACTGGATCCAGTCATTCATGCACTCATATCTTGTTACTTCCCTGATTCATTCACATTTGACTAACATCGGGAGAACAAGAACTTTGTTTGAATGGTTGTTGAAGCGAACTTTGAGTTCTGAATATGTTTGTATTGTTTTCTTCAACTCTTCAAATTACATGGTCATCACACTTTTTAAAGACATTACTTTGATTTCTTTAGTTCATCTTTTGCTGTTAATGACTTCCTTCTTTCGATCGAAGTATTTGTGTATCTTAAATGCGTCATTTTGTTAATAATCATACGGGTTCAATAAAATGTAACTAGTTTCCTTTGACCAATTATTTTTAATGTCATATGTGCACATAAAATAAATCGACCAAAGAGAATTTCTTACTCATGTGAGTTCCTTCTTTGACTACCCATGGATGATTTGACGATTACTTTGAAGGACTTGTTTCATTATTTGTGTAGAAGTTATGACTACTGATTGAATAGAGGAGTTCAAAAATGGATTTGCTTACCGAATCAGCTTTAAATCGACTTCTTCATGGAAGCGGTAGGCTAAGACATGAAAAGAGCTATAAAGTTCAAATTTTTGTTACTTTATCATGACAATCCCACGAAAAGACTAAGACCACCATCTTCCTCCTTCCCCCCCCCCCCTCCTCCAGCGAAAAATTTTCAGAAGTAGTCTTCTTGAGTCAAAAACTCACACAGACAGGGTTTTCTATTTGGAAAAGGGCAAAATAGTGGATGGACAACTCAAGAGTCTTATTATAATATAGGTGTACCTATAGGTATTACAAAAAAAAAAGATTTTCACTAATACTCATAATTTTGAAATACTTTCCAAAAATTAGCCTTTAAATGAGTACCATCGAGTGAATTGCCTTTATACGTCTTCTTCCCGGCAAAGGGCAAAAAGGGTTTCAAAATTTATTTTCAGAAAAGCCTAATCATAATGTTGCTTGAATAAAGAAACTTGTCATTTCTCACTAAACCCCCTTTCTCGAAAACTGGGACATTTTCCAATGGACGTAATAGAAAAGTCTTAAGTAGAAAATCGAAGTCAAAATAGGTAAATGACACTTCCACGAAAGTAATGTGATGTCGAACAATGAAGTGACTTCCAAAATTTCATGTCTCAAGGATTGTTTCGCTCCCCTCCCCCTCTTTTATCAAGAATTTTCTGCTCAAAGTCGTAACAATCCAAAATGGCCACAAAACGACGATGACGATAAATCGGGGCAACGGCTCCGAATAGTTTCAAATTCGGAAGGTCATGACGATTGATAGCGATCAAAGTGGAAATCGATGACAAACGCATACTACGCATAGTGTCGAAGATTAATGCGAATTTATGCGGTGCTAATGGTCGCAATGATCACAATTTACAGTATCAATGGATATGCGCGACCTTCAAGATCGGGTAGTAATACTATACATAGTTTGGCGGGAAAAAGCGTGGAAGGGGGGGGGGGGGGGTGAGTGAAGAAAGCTTTTGAATAGGTTTCTTTGCTTTTCTTCGACATGAACATGAAGTTGGCTTTGAGTTTATATCCTGGATATATTGACGCTGAAACTACTTCAATTGTCAGAAAGAAATTTCCATTCAAGCGAATTATTTACCGTTCAGAGAACAATTGGAGCCAAAGGACGGAGAACTTACTGACAATCCCTACCAATATCATTCTACAAGACTCAGAGGTGGAGGGTAAGGAAAGGGGGGAGGGAGATTATTGCACTAACTCGAAAAAACTCTAAAAGCCATTTTCTCTTACTAATGCGAGGATCGGAACATTACAAACTTTGTATGAATTACTTGTGCAAAAATTTTGGCCGGTCCTCAATTCCAAAATTTGAGTTTTTTGGCAGAAAGAAGTTTGAGAAGCACCACAGAAATCTTAAAAGACCTAGGTCGCTGCACTTTCTTCTAGAAGAAATTCTGGTGAAGTCCCCTTTCCCCCCCCCCCCCCCCCCCCCGCCTCCCCTTTACCCGACTAAGTTTCTGGGCACAAAAGTTCTAGCAATGTTAGGATTGTTCATAAGATTGCCGCCAAAACTGCAAAATATTCCCTTGAAAATATCTATAAAAACATTGCAAACGATATCAGACACGCTTTAACCCATGATGAATTTCATACAATTATCATACTACAGAATCAAGTTTTTTTAGTGAAAAAAGTTGAATTAAAAAATTCCAAAATTCGTAACTATTCATAGAGACATCCGAAACAGAAACTTTTGCCAGCTAAGAAAAAATGAGTTGTGAAATTATGATATAAGACAAATTCGTATTTATGGGGAATATTTTCGGCTGAATTATAAAAAGGAAAAACTGGTCTTTAACTCCTTTAACATCATTCAAATATTTTGTCTTAAATCTATTTTAGAATTCCCACAAGACTCATGGAATCTCCTTCCTCACTGGGGAGTTCCGGGGGAGTCTGAGATCCTTTACTCCGTCTAAGGAAAGAACGAGACTGAGTGTTTACAACTTTTCTTATCTTTTCTTCTCTATTACTTATTTCATAATTTGTACTTTGATATAAACAAAACTACGAATTTTTCTTTAAAGTAGACCCATTGACTGCATACCTTTCTTTGAGCCAAATTGTATCACAAAGCTGTTTGAGCTTCAATAATTTTGCTGCACGACTCATGAACCAACTTGATGATCAGCATTCAAACATGCATGCACCAACTTTCTCATCTTTTGCGGGGGAGTTTGTTAGAAACCTCCAAAGATTGTTCACCTGACTTTTCTTTCCACTAACTGTGTCATACAATAGTGCTCGACGAAGTGGAAAAACACCTACACCGACGACGATGAATAACAACAATCGCAACCCGTTAGAGGTGCGAAGACGAAGTGCAATCGAACCACAAATGGCATTTCAAAAACCACAAGAAACCTTATGTGAACTGGTTTGTAGGTCGAGAAAGTCGATGTTTCTTGACTTTCTGAAGAAATATTGCTGGTTATGTCGCTTTGTCGTGATTTAGAGCATGATTGTGTGAGAAGTCGAGTGATTGAAGAAAGTTCCAATTTTTTTAGGGGAGTGAGTTTGTAGGGTTAGACCGGTTAGGTTAGGTCGCGGTTTACCCAAGCCTCTAGCTTACAGTTTCAGACTATTTCTACCTTTACCACTGCCTCTAGAATATGTTGTACCTTTTTCGCCTAAAAACCAATTTCCTTCCCGGATTCCAAGCTGGAAAGTAGTGAAAGCGGCTGGTTCCTTATTCCAACTGGTCATTGTTTTTTGTCTCCTGGTTCGATTTCACCGCGGTTAGGCCCTAATCAGAAACGGCAGCGACTCGGCGCTGTTCTCCATACGCGGAACTGGAACAGCAAACGCTTTCATTCGTTTTGATTGAATTCTTCCACACCATCCTTCATTTTTGGCTCTACAGCATCCTAGCTGGGAAAATTAATTTGTTGTACTTTTTGGTTCATAAATCTCCAAATTAACATCATTACAAAAAATGCAGAACTATAGTGTTACTGAATATTGTTTGAGTTTACTGAATACTAATTTACTTGTTAGTGAATTTTGTTTCGTTCTATTCATTTTCTAGGCCCTCTCCGGGATTTCTCAGTAGGGAGAGATTATAAAACGTTTTGTAATTCTTTGAAAAGATCGTGAAACACATTTATAAATTTTTTTCATGCCCTAATTCTTCAAACGATCACTTTTTTGTTTTGTTGAGTAGAAATTTCGAGTAAAACGTATTTTAGATCTATGAACCTATGAATTTGCGCAATCTTTTCGAATGTACTTGGCTGTTTTTTCTTTTCAAACCTCAAAAACACGCATTTCCCGTTCCTCTCATCACTCAGACATGAGTTTTTCCCTTTTCTAATAATAATTTGGCACTTTGAACTTTTGATGATACACAGACCAGACCCCTTCAGGGCCCGGCACGAGGTCGGCAAATGACAAGCTGGAAATCGTTTTGGGGCCAAAAAGCAAAGGGGAAACCGTTTTTGCCGGGTCCGGGGCGGAGCCCCGGAAAAAAAATTGGTAGTTCATGCTCGCTACTTATCTTGACATGTTATGTGCCTCAACAGGCGAACACTGGAGTTCGCGCGCGTCAAACCGCGCCGTCGCTAATTGCCACACGCGCGACGTCGCCCAAGCGATGCTATTTGTAACAGCATACATGACTAGTTCTCAATGTATGTGTAACGATATGACACCAAATTTTGTATGCGAACGGAGAGAGGCTAGTGGAAACATAGTATGAAAAATTATGAAAAACTTATGTGAACGGAACGAGTAATTAGCATTTTTTCCGAGAATTTCGCAAAACTGGTAAATGAAGATGTGAATTCAAACGGCTCGTTTAAACGCGCAGATGAACGATATGGTATGAAACTTGGTAGGTACATGAACACGGGCCTGCAGGGCTTAACTGAGGAGTTTCATCTAAAAATTATGTGACTGAAGGTTGTGGCAAACTTTTATCTGAAAATTTTGCGCTACCAAAGAAATGGAAAAATGGCTCGTTTGCAACGCAGAGGTAACGAAATCGCGCGGGATTCGGTGTGTATATGCGCAATAGGACTAAGTAATAAAGTATGAAATATTATGAAAAACTTATGTGAATGAAGAGCGTGCTTAACTAATTTCCAAATTAGGTCGGCATTTGCCGACCTAATTCCCACCTGAGGTCGGCAAAACTCTCAATTCACATAATTTTTTCAAAATTTTTACATAAATCTGTTGTACACCTAAAGTTTACTACGTGGTGAAATTTTGGTTCCGAAGCTCCTCCTCTTGTCCTTGTTAGAGCCCAAAATCGCATCAGCAGCCTAGCTTTCTAAGATGGAAAGCGCGCCCCAGTCAAGCGAAACGCGCGGGAACGGCGTCTCTCATTCCTATGACTGCGTTTCTTTGATATTTTCTCATTCCTCAATCATTTTTCTTGCTTATTTTTCTTCCTGTTTCCTATCTTGATACAGCTGAGAAGTAATTTGAGGAATTTGAGCAATTTGGGCGCTTTTGAGCGCTTTTAGGCGAAGTGTGGCCGGTAATCTCGTCGCACAAGCACAAAACGTCATTTTTGGGTTCAAGGGGGTATTCGTAAAATTTATTGAGATCAAAGGGGAATTCGTTTTGGAAAACCCCGTTTTCCCACCTCGTGCTGGGCCCTGGACCCCTTTTCTCTGACGGGCTGCATTCT